GAATATGAAGAGTTTCTGTCTGGTATCTTCTAAACCCTCAATGAGGTATAAGGCCAGCATACATGTGAGTGGAAGGGGTGGGCTGCTGATGAGTTTAAGGAGTGGGGAGAAGTTATGGAATAGTTATAGGCAGAAAGATCTTATTAGGAGCCAGTGGTAGCTTTGCTGGGTGGTGCTGAGTGTCCACTTCAGATTTTTGGTCATGAATCTGAAGTTCTCTAATAATATTCAGCCACTCAGGTACATTCATGGAAAAGCTACATGAATGATAAGGCAGCTGTAAATATAAAAATATTTTTTAAAATTAAAAAATTTTAAATTTAAAAAATTTAAAAGAGCAATTAAAGGATGTTTTAAAAATATGTATCTATGAGATAAACACAAAACACTTGACTATGTCCAATCAAGCCATGGTCTATGCAGCTCCATTTGTCTCTATCTTCTCATCACAGAAATTCTTACAATGTATCTGTCATATTTAGTAATGACATATTTAATCATGAAGCTTAAAGATAGTTTCTTTTTGGTCATGAATGGTTCTATCATTTCCTAAGGTGAATTTTTTTAAAAACACACCTGATAACCTTTACGTTGATTCTAGAGGTGATTTCATTTCACTGCTTGAAGAAACTCTCTCTGCTGTTAGCTGATATTTTCATTGATGATTACATTTAAAAGCAAAAAGCAAAACTTAACTACCACCCTCCCCCCCAATGAATACACACATCTTTAGTGCTTAATCTGAAAATGCCTGAACAGCTGTTTATCACAAAGCCAATGGGAAGGTATATGCTAACCTGATGGCTCTGGGCACCTAGCAGCACCAGGTGCATGCTGTTGATCATCCACAATGCTGGCTCAAGACCCAAAACACTCTGGGGAGAAGTCATGTTTGCACAGGTTCAAGGGGTAGAAACAAAGACCCCCACCTCTTGATGGAGGCACAAAGACTAGCATATTGGGTAAGATAGGGATGTGTGTGTGTGTACATATTATACATATATGTATAGTCATTTTTGAGAAATACAATCTGCCCCACAAGCAGAAGGAAAAAAAGACCTATACCAACGTGCATCATGAAATGTCAGGAACACCACGGATAAACCGAAGATCCTAAAATCTTCCAGTGTGAAAGAAAAAAGGGAATGGGGGATTAGAATGGCATTGGACTTCTCAATAGTAACACTGGAAGCTAATGAAACAATGCCTTCAAAATGGGAACATTAATTTCAATCTAGAATTCAACACCAAGCTAAACTACCATTCAAGTATGAGGGCAAAATGAAGGCATTTCCAGATACATAACTTCTGAATTCAGGAAGGAATTTCAGACTTTGTATGTACCCCTTCTCAGGAAGCTACTAAAGAATAAGACAGACAGAGAATCCAGGAAATAGAAGACCCACCATAGGAGGAAGGCCGAGGGAATTCCCAAGATGATGTCAAGGGGAAGTCTCAGGATGACGGACTGCTGTGCAGTAGTCCAGAGAGCAAACCAACCCAGACTGGGGTAGGAGAGGGAGGGCTCCAGCAGAACTATCTTCTGGGAAAAAGATATGAAACTGAGCGATTACCTGAAAACACTGAGGGATTATCAATTCTGTCATAGAGTTTGAGGATTAATTAGTGACTAATACAATGAAAACTCAGCAAATGAAAAACAAAAGAGGCAATTATTTAATTCAGGAAAAACAAAAGTTGCACAAGTAGGAAATGTGATAATAGTACCCTACATGGCTCATCTGTGAATAAAAGATACACTGTCACAATCATATAAATACTGAATACTGACTTAACTGGGAACTGTACACTACAGGTATGAGTAGGGGATGAAAGGATGGTTGTGTGGGACAGTTAAGTCCTCAGCTTTCAACACAGACCTTCATAGATGACAGCCAAAGGTAAAAGAAAAAAACAAGAAATAGCAGTATAAACATTAAAAATGAAATAAATATAAAGGTAAATACCAGAAGGAACTGCTAAGAGTTGCAGTGGTTGAACAATATAAAATTGCTAATTTTTGATCATTTCCCAATCTAAAAAATGACAATTTCATATGTCTCAGGCTAATACATTATATCATTACTACTGATTTTAGAATAAATTACCATTTGAAACAGAAAACAATTCTTAATAGAGAATGCTCAATGGAAAAAAAACACTTGCTGTTATCAGACATTGTTGGGAGGATAATAGATCCTAGTTTTGGTTAACAAACTTTTACTATATATGCTTTTACCATCACTAACATAACAATATTAGTATTCTAATGAATGTAAATAATATATTTACTGATAAAACAGCATTTAATATACTTTAATCTGTTTTGATAATATAAAAGTTATTTTAGAATTTTTCTTCAGAAATGCTAAACTATGAGTTGGTAAAGATTTTGATTAACAGAATGCTGAACAACAAGGCCAGGCTGTATTTAGGTTTCTTTGTTGATATAAAAAATAGCTAAGTCACTCTTGCAAAATTAAAGTTCCATGAAATTGCAATACCATGCAAGCCTATTTCAGTGATAATTCCGGTTATACTACTGTTTATCTTAGACTTCCCCTTATGATTTAAGAGTACTCCTAAAAAAAAAGTCTTATGCAGTCAAGACAGGCAGTCATAAATATATTGGGTTGCTTCAATATTAGTGACCCTAGTTAATAAAGCTCTGGTTTTTAAGTTAACTTAAATTAATTGATAATAAAAATTTAAATCATATATCATAAAATCAAAACTTCTCCAACTGAAAAATCAACTTTTACTGATTTTAACTCTTACAAAAAAAAATTTGAACATGATAACATAAGGTAATTGTTTTACCAAGAATAATGGATCCTGAGTCAACCAATGGATAATTCCTCCTTCAAATTAAAAGCAAATGTTTCAAACAGAGGGAGTATACATAAACAGATGCTATGAAAAACTGCTTAGTTTACACTTCATTCTGCATTGAAAACTACTAGCAATTAACATACTTGTGATTAAAAAATAATCTTAAAGAGAATCTTAAAGAAAACAGAACCCATCCAATCATTCATATCATCCAACATAAATGCCTCATTTTTTTTTATCACCATTATTTTGAATCACAATATTATAATCCAGGTGCCTATAATCTCAGCACTTTGGGAGGCTGAGGCAGGAGGACTGCTTGAGGCCAGGAGTTCAAGACCAGCTTGGGCAACATAGTGAGACCCTGTCTCTACAAAAAATTAAAAAATTAGCCAAGTGTGGTGGCATGCACCTGTAGTCCCAGCTACTCTGGAGGCTGAGGTCAGCGTATTGCTTGAGCCCAGGAGTTCAAGGCTGCAGTGAGCTATGACTGCACCACTGCACTCCAGCCTGGGCAACAGAGAGAGACCTTGTCTCAAAATAAATAATAAATGAAAATAAATAAAAATATCTAGGATGTGTGTTTTCTGTAACTGAGTTTAGCTAATTTCCATCACTGTGCAAAATTATAATGGCAAAAAAGAAACTGAAAATCATGCAACCAGAATAACAACTATCTTCTAAAATGTATATAATCTAGTTTAAAAACAAAATAGCAAGGAATAGCTGCAGCTATCACAATAGCCTCTTTTTAATTGGTCTACGACAAGCGTAACTCCTCATAATTTTACCAAGACAACAAAGTCAAGCAATCAAGCCAACAGAGCCAAAGTCTGTGGGAACCTACAGAACTTCCTTCTCTCTCTGAGGATGAGAACAATGAAAAAGGTGTTCTGTTTTCCAGTAGTCCTGTAAGAGGAGCCATTGAGCTGAGCTGTACAACCAGATAACAGAACACAGGAAAATTGAGATCAAAGCAAGGATGCATGCCAGGGTAATATGCAATAAAACCCTCTGCCAAAGCATTAAGCGGGGGAAAAAAAGGAGGCGGAGAGAACCTGCTGGACCACCTTCTTACTAACATAGAGAGGCAGGAAGGAACAAAATCTGCCTATACTGAGAAGCAGAGAAAAGTGTCCTAGGCGCACTGGAGTATTCCTATAGACGTGTATATGAGCATGTAGACATATCAACGAAGTAAACCCAGAAAGCAGTGTCCTGTATGTTGGCGTATTCCCATGTACACAGATACGAGAATATTACCATTAACTAAACCCCAAAAAAGCAAGTGTTCTAGATATACAGATAGGAGAATGTAGACACACATTTTCAATTAACAAAAGCCACTGATTTACAATGAGAAACAAGCTGTTTGAAATAACATCAGAGACAGAATTGGGTAAAGGTGTGATGAAGTTATATGTTTCCTCCACCCATTTTTTCCTTATGCCCTTTTGATAATCTTTGATTCTCTCATTTCATAGATGTCACACATACACACGCACGCACCCCATTAGGTCTCCAGAAACAAAGGAGGGTCCTTAATTCTCCAGCCTGTGAAAGCACACACGCCCCCTGCCCACAGATGATGACTTTCATTAATGAGTAAGCCGAGGCGAGAGGTCTCAACCCAGACCACTGCCATGCACACTGTGACAACCGGGCACGAGACAAGCGCCACAAAGAAAGGGGAGGCGTGGACCGGGACCAGGAAAACACTGCCACGCCGAGTCCCCCAAGGCGCGTTCCCACCGCCAATACCAAGGCAGCCGTCCTCGCCATCCTCCTCCTCGCCTCCAGGCTCATCCCAGCCGCCTCCCACGCCCGGAGACCCGACGCCAGAGCTCGGGTGAGCTCGGTGTGCGAGGGGCCACGAACCTTCCCCTCCGTGACCTCCCGGTGACAGCCCCGCTCCGCCCTTTGTGCAGGACTCACCCTCCGGCCCCGGGGACGCGCCAGACCCTGCTCCGCGTCCCTCCGCCATCTGGGGCGGCTGTCTCACCCCTCTGTCCCGCGCCGGGCCCGCCGAGGCGCCCGGGGAGTGTGTGGGGGAGGCTGGCGCGGGCCCGTGGTCTCCTCAGCATCCCAGACCCGGACCCGCCCCGTCCCTCAAGCTCCAGTCCGGGGGCGATGGCCCTCGGCGCCCCTGCCCTCGCTCGCTCACTTACTCGTGCGCGCCGGCGGCAGCGGCGGACATCAGGGACCGTCAGCGCTGGGCGGCGGGCTGCGGGCGGCCAGCGTCCATCGGAACCGAGAGCTACTGAGGTGGCGGCGGCAGACTGCGCGCGGCGGCCGCGGGCGAGGGGCGGGCCCGGCGGGGGAGGGGCGGGCGCCGCGCCTCTCATTCATGCAGCGGGGGCGGGGTGAGGGACCCGGATGCCCGGGTAGCCCCCGCCCACCTCGCTGAGGGCACGGTGGCTTCAGAGTCTGCAGTGCGCAGGCGCGGCCTCTACGGTCAGGCCTGGTCCCGCCCGGTTCTCTGGCGCTGTCTTGCCGGCGGAGCTGCGCCGCATAGGCCTTCTCCATCGACTGTTTAGTATTTTTGCATGCCCTACAAGCATTTTTAAAAGTGAAAGCTTGGGGAATTGATTCCACTCTTTCCTCCTCCCTCCAAAAAATCTGGAACGTCATATCTTTCCTGGCATCCAGCCTGACAGTCCCCGGGATGGGGGGGCGGTGCCCGTTAGTTTGATGGGGAGCCCGTGCACACCGCCCTCTCCTCCATCTGCCCCTCCTGCTGCACAGGTCCTCCCAGCTGAAAGCTGGAACTGCGGTGCTGGATGAGACCCAGGCTCTGCCCAGACAGTGGAAAGAAGTGTGTGCAACAAGCAGTGGGTTCTTTTTCTAGTCCTCTCGGCCTCCAGCTTCCATTCTGCAGGGCAGGCAAGAAATTGACTTCGTTTCAACGTATGAATTTTGGGGAAAAAAATAAAAAATAATAAAAAGAAATTGACCTCGGATTTTAGGGGGCTCAGCCCTTCGTATAATACCAAAGCCCAGAGTTTAATGTGGCTCCAGGGATATGGGGCTTTCTCTCTTGTATTTAGCAGGCAGTGTATTCTGCAGAGACACCCTGCCCCTTGGCTCTGCCACGCTGGGGCATGGAAATCTTGGGAGAGGCTGGGAGCCTGCCGCAGGCCTCACAGCCATCCCCTCTGGGGCTCCTCAGCCAAGTGTGGGGGCACCGCAGCTCAGAGCTTGTCCTAACGATTGCCCCTTTTTCCTCAGTCTCCATGTCCCCCTCAGAGGTTCTCTTTCCTTCTCTTACTCTCCTGGTCCTCTCACATAAACCATGAACAGCTAGCTCAGTGGCTTAACTTTGGGAAGCAAAAGTCATCATGGAAAGTGCCTGTAGGCACTCTGCTTCTGCATTGGCAAACCATAAACCACAAGGCAAGGGGTTACTAAAGAGGGAAACATCAATGAACATCTCGAGAAATGACCTGCTACCCAATAGTCACAGTTCCCCAAGGTGAGAGATGGGTGGAAGCATGTGCTGGGGACAGTGTGGCGAAAGGAAGGGAGTGGGAGACCCTGCTTCCTCTAGAGCTGCCTGTCCCGGGGGCTGTGGGCCCACGTCCTCCCTGCCACTCAAGCCGGGGAGCTGGGAGAACCCAGCCCTCTTTCTTTCAATCGTAGCAGTTACCAGGAGGGTGATCGCAACTCAGCTTGGCTCATACATCTGTCTGTCTGCATCAGGCCTCCTCATCTGTCCCCGGGGCTGTTGCAGAAGGCTCTATTCATTCTCATGCAAATCCATTCTCAGAACAATCTGCCCAAGTTTCTGTCTTTTTCTCTTTCCGTTCCCCATCTGGCACTTTGACCCTTATTTTCCAGCCATTTACAGAATAGCACCATGGCGTTTCACCCTCTGGTGACTGTGTTTCCTACTGTTCCCTCCACTAGGAAAGCAACATTTATCTAGCCACATGCAAAAGTCACTTTTTCCTTTAAAAATCCACAGGCTTTTCAGGGCAGCAGAAGTACTCTATATGATATAGTAATGGTGGATACAACATGTCATTATACATTTGTCCAAACCCGCAGACTGTACCACACCAAGAGTGAACCCTAACATAAATAATGGACTTTGGGTGATACTGATGTGTCAGTGTAGGTCCATCAATTGTAACAAATGTACCACTCTGGTGGGGGATGTTGATAATTGGGGACCTATGCATGTGTGGGGACAGGGCATATAAGTACCTACCTCTGTACCTACCTCTCAGTTTTGCTGGGAACCTCAAACTGCTCTAAAAATTAAAGCATTAGGAAAAGTCGCTTTTTTATAAAGTCTTCCTTCCTGCCCTCACTCATGGACAGACTTTCCTTTGGAATCCCTACCTGTGATCTGTACCCGCGTCTTTCTCAGCACCAGGTACCCATCAAGGTCACTACTCATTTGCATGTTTTCCTCTCTGCCAGAACATGAGCCCTTCAACAGCAGGACCAATGTCTCCTTAGCACCTAGTTGTGACAGGTGCACAGAGGACATGCAATGACTGTTGGTGGAGGTGATGCTAGCCAGGGAGGCTCCACAGGGAAAGAAAGTCCGAGCTCCTGTTCTTTCTCCTCCCTTCTTGTGCTTTCCTTCCCCCCGCCTCACCCCTGTGTTTGGAAACCTGTTTTGCTGTTTGTTTAGAAAGCTTAGCTAGTAATTCGCTGGTCCAAACAGATCGTAGGGTAGAGGGTGGAGTGGCTCCAGCTTCATGTCCTTTGTCCTTGTGAAAATTAGGAGAGAGAGGGAGGGAGAGGGGGACCCATTTTATTAAAATTTTGTTGAGGCATCAGCTAGCCCAATTGCCTTTTAAGGTCAGGGAGAATGTCTCCCCTTGAGACTGGACTAGTGGAACCTGGCCTCACAGTTTCTGCAAAATATAGCAGGATCCTGCCCTTGTCTCCCCAGTAGTGGGTTGTCCCTTATCCCCCTTGGGGAAAAGATCAGAATTTTTGGCCTCCTGTTGTCTCCAGCTGGAGATTCACCTGCTGGTCTATAATCATCTTTGCTTAGTGATGCACCAAGGTCTACTTACCCCAGACCACTCCCACACCCCTTCTGCAGGCAAAATGTGTGTGGTGGTAAGGTGTGGGTAGACACTTCTTTCTCTGGAGGGTTTAGGTGGGTATCCCAAAACAGCAGGCAGCCAGGGCTTGAAGTGGTGGCTTTCCCAACTAGCATATTCCCTTGTTCCACGTGATGGGCAGGGGCGGGGCGGGGAAAACGTCACCGTTTAGGGCTTCAGAGAATGTATCAGGATATCCCTCTTTCTCTTTGTCCTCCCTCTTCCTGTCTCTCCTCATCTCCTTCCTACATTATACCTCCTTTAAAGCATTTCCTTACCCCCAACCATCTCAGAAAACTCTGCCCCTACCCATATGGTCAGAAGTCCTTCAAGAATCCTCCTGGAAAAGAAATCACACCTAATTTTAAATCAAATGTCTCTGACTAATTTTGGAACAGCAGCTCTCTGGATGGTAACTATAGTAGGAACAAGGGCGGGTTTTAGTCATCTTTGGATCTGGCGCTCAATACAAGTTTGTTGAATGATTGCTTGACTGGTGAAGGCAAAATCAGTGTTTCAAACAAAGGCTAGAAATCAAGGGTTGCCCACAGCCCAACCCCTCTGCCCATCCTCCCCACTTGCTGGGGCCTGCCCATGTGTTCTGTTGAAAGATGGGCCCTTTCCAGAAAAAACATCCCTCTTGCCTGTCAATCACTTGACAGCTTAATTATTCAGGGCTCTAAATGACCCCCTTAAGGGTTGGCCATACAATGCTTTAAGCCCTTGTACTGGGCCAGTGGAGGAGACGCACCATATCTGTGAGAGCAGGAGGTGTTCCCTGAGCCCCTTCATCCAAGAATTCCAAGGGGACTCCTCCTGCCTAGGTCCCTCCTGATAGCCCTCCCTCCTCACTGCCCATGTGCGCCTCTCGCTGGGGTGAGACCCTGCCCATGGAGGGGTGGGATTGCTTCCCAATGTAGGATGTGAAACAGTGAGAGAAGGGGAGGAAGCATAGGTTCCTTTGTGCACAGTTCCTTTGGGCCTGGCCGTGTGTCCACCCATGGCCAACGAAGGAGGTGGGAGCCAGGGATTCTGTTTCCCTAGCCACCAACAAGCCATGTTGTCTTGCTGGTACACACAGGCCCAATGACATGGAGCTCCTGAAAATATAAATGTGCTGAGGATTCCATGTGGGAGTTTCCTAGCTGGGATCAGTGGCAGACACAGGAGAGCGGAGCCACAGTTTCCCAGGGGTGGTGACAACCTGCACGGAGTCACTTTTGGATTGGAGGACACCCATCTCAGGGTGGATTCTCCTAAGAGCAGACCTTGAGACAAGGATTGGATGTAGGTCCCAGGATATGGGAGTGAAGACATGGGGAAAGCAAGATATGGAAGGGAGAGCAGGCAATACTAAGATATGTTGATGGGTCAGTTACTGCCATGGGCAACCGGGACTCAGTCCTACTGTGAAGCCACTGAGAAACCTTGTGGAACAGCCTTTGGTGTTGTCTTCCTGAATACTGAAGAGGCTGGAGTATTTATCCACTGACTTCAATCTCCCCATCAGGGAACTTTCAAGTTACATCTGTGAAGCAAAGCAAGCTGTCCAGCTCAGCTCCTCAGCTGTGGTTACACTGCTCCTGCCACTGCCATCACCTTGAGAGCACTACCATCATCACAATTTCTGCCTCTCCAGTTTCTCCTACCCCAGTGTGTCACTGCCTTTTCTCTCTGCTGGGTTCTCTTAAGTCTGAGCTTGAAAGAGGAAGAAGTGTAGTGGAATGATATCATTGCCAAAATCTTGTTCTAAGAAAAAGGATCTGTGGTGGTTTTCTTCTTCCTCCATTTCAACCTATCCAGTCTACCCAAATAGCTCTCAATCACCATCACCTCATCCCAAAGCAAGGGGCAGGAAAGAGGGACAGGGCAAGAAAGCAGGCAGGCTTTCTGGAATGACTTCTATCATCACAGAGTCATAGATGCAGAGTTGGAAGAGATGAACTCTCTCATTAGGATGAGGACACTGTACAGAGAAGGAGAATCCTCATCTTTTGCTTTTCCTGCTGCTGCAGCACCTCCTCCAGGCAGGCTTCCCTGGTTTATCTTGACTTCCTATCCTTCCAACCTATATCATCACAATCTGGACTCAGACCTTTATGCCTTCAAAGGATGGCCCAGGCTGTGACTC